AGGATAGGATAGGATAGGATAGGATAGGATAGGATAGGATAGGATAGGATAGGATAGGAAAATAGCATGAGATACGTAAGGAAGATAACAGCTTCATAGAAACCTGAGCCATGACAATAAATGGTTTCACCACGTAATGTAATAATGGGGTAGAAAGGTGATAATGCCCCACATAAATCTTGCTCTTAAATGCTGAAGTGTGTCCATTTCTGCAACCAATAGATTGAGCAGGCTGGCCAAAACATCTCAGCAGTCAGTTCCTTTTGATGGCTTGGGAAAAAAACCTCTGATTAAAAACTGTGAAAATTGTTGAAATTCATTACCTTTCCATATTTTGTGTTGGAAAATAGCATTTAAATTTATGTCCTATAACTTGTGCTTTCCAGCTATGTTGGTATTAAGTCCCAGGTAATGTCCAATGTAGTTGGAAGTTTATGAAAGCTCAGGAAGGATGTAAAAATTGGGGAAAGCTGGACCACGGTCCAAGGATCAATTCGAATGCATCTCAGACTGATGCAGGGCATATTTGTGGGATATTATTAATTTGGTAAATATATTTTTCTTTCTCTCTCTCTCTTTCCCACACACACTTTATCTTCCTCTCTTATAGGATCTGGGAGTGTCTGCACATCTCCACTGATGTTGGTCTTTATACTCATGGGATATTAGGACAGAGTTGAAAAAAGGCTTTATAACACTAATAGAGGACAACTATCTACAATGAACATTGCATTTTCTCTATCTACCCTGATGTATCTGATATATAGAGATAACACCAGCTTGATTGGCTTTCATTTATCTCTCCACAAACCCTACCACCAGCTGCATTATTTTTCCCCATCAGTCCAAACTTCAGAAGCACCCAACCTCTCACTATAAGAAAATAGCCTTATATCAGTTAGCCGATGTGATGTAGCAATTACAATTTCAAACTAGGAGTAGGAGCTCCAGCTTAAAATCCCCATTCTGCCATGAAAGTCACTGGATGCTTGAGGCCAGATGATATCTCTGGCATAGGTTACCTTATCTTAGCATTGTAGTTATGTAGGAAATATTGCGGGATGAACTTTGTATGTTGCCTTAACTTTCTAGAGAACCTTAACATGAGCAGAAAATTGATATCTGACCCAAGATCTATTCTGAGAAACGGTATATCTCTGTGGTCTCAAGACAGAGGTCTTTCTTGTCTTTTGCTACTTCTCAACCCAGAGTGCCAGGGATTGGATTTGGGAGTTCCTGCAGAAAAACCATGGGCTCACCCATATCTGACGCTTTTGTCAAAACAACAAAAGCAGCCTCACACCAACATACTGCAGGTTTTGTCACTTGCCCTTGCTTGGCTCCCCGGCTCCACCACAAAACTACGACTCTAAGCTGAGTCAGGTATTCTACTTTAAATGGTTGATTCAGGGTAGGCATTTACTTCCTGTTAAGAGGAGGCTTTGATGAAAAAAAGAGGACAAATATTTCAACTCTGGATCGTTTAATGAATCAACTATATAAAACTTCATTTTAAAACTGCATGTCATTAAAAGACTGCGGTTTTAGCCTGAAGAAAAGTGCATACCATGTGTGAGAAAAATGCTCCTCCTTGGGCTTACAGCTATGAAACTTTTGTCATGCCATTTGCATAGTTCAGAAGCTACAGTCCCATAAGAAGAGATGTTCAGAAGTGCCTGTGTTTGTTCCTGTCCCAGTCTCCTTCTCCTGTTTCCCTTTTCAGGCATTTTACTAAAAATAGAAATGCAGAACTCCCAACTGTTCTAACTTCTCAATAAATAGCTCTCTGTGCAGTTCCAGTCACAGCAAATCCACAAAAATGGAAAAAAATCTCATGCAACTGCACAGAGGCCATCTGCATTCACGTATCCTTCAAACTCTGTCCCACTAAAATTGCTTCCCAAAGACAAAGGTTCACCTATGGCAAGTCTGTGCCGTGAATGTATTCTGCCCTATGTACCATGCTGCAGATGTACTCTTTCACTACCCATTTCCATTTCATGCAGAAAAATGACAAGGAGGTAGTTCAAAGGCAGCTCAAGTTGTATGTTCAGAGAGCATCAGCGTAACAATTCCTTTTTGAAAGGATTTACCATCCAAGCAAAAGAAGACAGAGGTGAAAGTCAGGATAGGAGGAGGAAGCATCTGGGTAGTAATATGAGAAATAGGATGCTACCTGAGTAGCTTAGCAGTAAAAATAAAAGAGGGTTCTTGACACTGATAGCATGAGAGAAGCTGCTATCAAAGAAAAGGCCAAGATTCTGGAGGTGCAAATGATATTTTTTTTTTTTCCCAACCAGCCACTTATTTTAGCTACTATCAGACCCTCACAAGTTCTTTTCTTGAAAAGGGAGTTCTGGGAAATGTATTGCCCCAGAGGAAGATGTAGCATTTATAAGCCAGACTGAGTGAACATACAAACAACCAAATTACCCAGCTGAAAAGAACAATCACATTGCTGAATCTATCCTATCTTGCCAGGTAGTAAGAGAAACTCTTCCACAAAGTGTCTGATTGCAAATCATAAAATCCTAATTATTGTCACCTATAACTCCTAATTTTTTATCAAGGCAATTCTTCCTCATACACACACACTTAATTTTACATGTTTCTGTTTTTTGGTGTGGTGATACATTATTATCCCACTCCCCCATTATATAAAGTGGAAATAATCAGAACAAAATAACAGTGAAAATGTATTTTTTTAAAATACACAGAACAATTTAATATTTCAGTAATGATCAATTGTGTTGGAGATTCTACTACAAAATATCAGATAAAGGTAAAGACTTGGGAGGTTGAGCTTCATTCCTTGTGACCACATGGTCATGTCCATGAATTTTACTAAGCAACAATATGGAAATGGTTTTCCATTGCCATTTTCCAGGAGGGCTTTTTCAACTCCTCAGTCTAACTATAGTCCTGGGATTTTGTGGTAGTTTATGTTGTTGTTTTAAAACAACATAAAGAGCTACTGGAAACCATACAACAAGATGGACATGAGGGAGAGGATAGGCTTAACCAGTTCGCTTCAGGCATCCACCATTTCCCTCCATGCTATCAAAAATTTCAGTGAAGCCAAGTGGGACGTATAGCTGCTCCTCCAACTGAGATATCCAAGCTGCCTCACTCAGTGGAATGTTTAGGGGATTCCAAATATTCAAAAAGCTCCCAATGCATTGAGGGCAGGAGGGAATGGAGGAGTAAAAACAAGGGAAAAGCTAACTGTAGCATGAAAAAGCGACTGCGTTCAAGAATTTGGTTAAATATTTTGTATCTTTACCAAAACTTTACTTTAAAAAGCATGTTAGGAACTATTTACTGAAAGATGCTGCTTCAGTTTCCAGATGAAATGACTGCTGTTACAGGAAGCTGTCTCTGAATGAAGAACTCTGGTGACTCAAAAACCAGACTGAAGTCTTATAAGATCCTTAATTAAGGTTAGCCAAGATGTCTTGATTTCAAGTTATTTGCCTTCTCCCTGCAAACTGCTCCCCACACTCATATATATTACACTCTCTACCCCGAGAACACATGTATGTATTGCTTAAATGTATTGCATAAGAAAAGGGCAAAGTCTTCTGGTTAAATTAGCAAAACAATTTTCATGAATCCCATCCTGACCATATTTTCTTTCTTTCTGCTCTCAACACAACACCACAAAACTCACCTGGTAACCCCTGTTCCCCAACTAACTTGCCAGCTTGCCTTTCTGGATTGCCCCTTTGAGTCCTCCTATTTCAGTGGCCCAAGTTGAATGCAACTTACTTCCATTACCTTGTTTCCCCTGACATTATAGGAGGCAAGAAGTGTTAAAGGCAGCTATTTAAATTTGTATGGGAATGGTAGTTCTGTATAATGAAATAATTATCAATCACTTTGCAGGAAAAAAGTCAACATCATAGCAGAGAAAAAACAGCTTTAACTGAAAATCAAGTAAGGAGGGATGGACAGGCATTGAGCAAGATCCAAATTCCACTTCCCAATCTTGCACAGAAAGAAGAGTGTGTAAAAGGAGGAGAGCTGGCAGGGAGAAGCTTAAAAAGGAAAGGAAACTGGCGTATACAGGCTGCTTCTTCCACCACTGAAAATAGGCACAT